TTCCTCCACAAACGGTCCGCCATTGTTGATAGGCAGAGTAGTGCCCATGCCCGTTTCAACGCCCTCCCTCCTCCCGCCCTGCAACTAGCTTCCAGACCTAGCGCGTTCATCGATCGCAAGCTGATCGAAATCAATCTTCTCCTGAGTGCTTCTAGCGTTCCCTTTTGACTTTTGATTGCGATGGCTGCTTTTGTCAACTTAAACATTGCGCTTGATATCAAAAACAAATGACTAGACAAGCGAAACAAATGACTAGACATAGAACACAAGGGTCTTGGTGTAATGAAAATCAACTTGATGTATAAAAAGTACTGCTTGATCATGAAAAAATGCAACTTGAAGTTTTGTCACGTTTGGGCTAGCATAGCCAACAGAGAATTTAAATGCCAATGAAACTGGTGTGACGATCAAAAAAGTGAGAAGATCCTGAAAAAATACGAGCTACAATCTTCTGCAAAAATAATGTGCCACTTTCCCCCCTTTCCCCCTAGCAATGTTGGTCAAGAAAGTTTTCTACACTGTGAAGCGGTTGGCTGGTAAAATGCATGCGAGACAACATTGCTACGGGGGGAGAGGGGGGATGGTCCTCCAGAATACTAGGTGGCACATTTTACTTTGCAGAAGATTGTAGACAAGCTAAGGAAGTCTTACGGCAGAAGCTAGAGTTCACTTTTTTAAATTATAGCCATTTGCAAAAATATAACTTCAAAACATTAAAAATTTTTGTGGTCTTGACTTTTGTATTTCTAAAGAGAAAAAGCATGCCGTGGCTATCTCTGGATTATCGACGATCTTCACGAAACTTTACAATTTTACTAATATCTATAAGAACAATGACTGTTGACTCTTTTTTTATCAAAAGAAAAAAAAAAGGTTTTCGTATCGTGACCTCAGGGAAAACCAGCAAGGGAAAACCTCCTTATGAAGAAAGATGTGCTGCGCATGCCTGTGGGAAAAAAAGGCACCAACCCGCTGACCTGACGAGGCGGAAGACCAAGGGCTGTCAGTTGTTCTCTTATTAAAGTACAACTGTAGCTTGCAATGATTCATTTTAGACTTGTTTGGCTTCAATTAAAAGCATTTCTTTTCATTTCATTATGCTTTTCGGCAATGACCCGTGGTCATTATCTACCAACATGGGACTCTCTCGATTCAAGGCCTCTACCACAGTGGTATGACAATGCGAAGTTTGGAGTTATGATGCACTGGGGTGTTTATTCTGTTCCGAGTTTTGGTTCTGAATGGTTTTGGAATCACTGGAAACAAAGAAATTATTCTTCTTGTATAGAATTCATGAAGAAAAACTATCCACCAGGCTTTACGTATGCTGAGTTTGCTTCCATGTTTAAAGCCGAGTTTTTTGATCCAGATGTTTTTGCTGACCTGATCAAAAAGTCAGGAGCTAAGTAAGTGTTATAAGCTTCACGTATTTATATTAGCTATGATTAAATCCTTTCTGGAGGCTAGGATATAACGGCTGATAATATACGCTTCAAGGCCATATTTGATATAAGTGAGAAGTATTTCCCATCCATGAACATGGACATAATAAGCTGATATCATAGCTTGCTGTCAAAAGGAGTTTAATTTAAATGAAATACAGTAATAGAGTACAAACACTATAAGTGTGCAACATGAATACCACTAAATACTGCTAAMTTATGCTAATCCTATTGTTTTCTATTGTTTAATTAGCACTATTTACTACTAAATAGTGCAAAGTGTGGCACACTTTTAGTGTTTGTACTCTACCAAATATAACAGCTTCCTAAAACTAATTATCTAGCATATTTTATTTAATGGTCCCAACAAGTAAATATTAATGCACCTATCAAAGCAAACCCCGGGGGGGGGGGGGGGGAGGGTGCGGGCAAGGGGTGGGGATTTGATGAAGGGCTAGAAATTTTGGTCAAAATCCCCAGGGTAGGGAAAAAAACACTGATCTAATGAACACAAATGCCGCCACTCCCGAGCAAATGTAGCGATGCTAGAACATTTCGATTTCTAGAACAATATAACATAACATTGATAATGGTTTATTCACAATTTATCACCTTGTATACAAAAAAAAGAAGAAAGAAAAGCAAAAAACATGACAAATTGTGAAAGCGAGGTGAAAGAGGTTATCCCTATCTAGTTCACCTCCTTAACATAAATTACAAACGATTAAGAACATTCTAAAATTTAAACATTGAAGTTTATGGATCTACAAATATATATAAAAACTATGAATGATACAGAAATAATTTTATCACTGGTGTCGTATTGAACCATTAATTAAACATATCAATACTCAGTTTTTTCTTAAAAGTTTTCAGATTATCTGCTTCTAATATAACACATTAACATGTTAAAAATGAACAAAACAAAACTAATACAAGCTCGATCGCCTGTGTTGTTATCCAGCGAACCAAAACAACGCACGTGTGGATATGCAAATGAGGTAGGTAATCACATATTACCACTGGTCCCAAGTCTGTTCGCAGCCTAATGAAATGGCCCGATCCATGGGCCCTAAAAATCGATCAAATGCCCGAGGGAGGGAACAACAAATGCGTTCAAATCTTCACTCTTGGCCCGCACTCTCCCCATCCCACCCTTCATGGGTTTTACTTTGATAGGTGCATAACCTCTGTATACATTTTCCTCACTATCCCACTTCTGATTGGCTGAGAGCCTTCAGAGAATAATGAGATACAGTGTGAAGTTGACTTTGTATCATGTCTATTTCACTCAAGGTCATGGCAGACCGAAAAATAAATAAATAAAGTATTTATTCTTAATATAAATGTATAATAAAACAGTTATTGAATTGCGTTTTTGCAGGATATCATATATGTAGGTAAATTTTCAAGCCAGTGGCCTTGGCTATTTTATCTGCCTTAATCAATTAACATACARGTAGCCCAAGCTTGGTTTCTGTGGTGTCATGTCATAAGGAAATGTATGGGAATTCTTCAAAAATTTCAATAAAATCATTGAAACGTGAAATAAAGCCTCGAAACGTTACCCAATCATTGAGAAATAGCACTTCTTTTGCTCTGTGTGGTTATTTTTTGAATTAAGCCCGTTTTAAAAATTTTTTCCCCCACCAGAAACCACAGAAACCACAGAAACCAAACATGGGCTACCTGTGGCTAACACGCAGCCTTGGACTTGATCATTTAACAATTATTTGCCGAAGGTGAAGTGATTATCAGGGAATGTTTACCAAGACATGAGTCTTCGAGTGGCGAGGTAAATATTCCCCAATAATCACTGAGCCTGAGGCAAATAATTGTTTTAGTATAAATACACAGGTGATTCTTTCAAAAAAAGGAAAAAAAGGAAGATAAAAGGCATTTTTTTCTGGTAACAGCAACAAAGCGGCTGGCCACCATTTTGGATTTTGGCTCGAGGTGATTATCGTGTGATAGTGTGAGTTTCTTGACCAATCAGTGTGCACAATTTTCTATAATCACCTGTGTTGTTTTACTAATTATAGGATATCATGCAACCTCATCCAATAATCATTATTTTATTGTTAAACCTCGGTTTCCTTCAACTGGGTGGTTGTTTTGGGAATTACATTCAGACAAGGTGGAGAGTTCTCCCTTTAGATTTAAACTCACTTAATAATAATGGAAACATTTTGAATTATGCAAAACCTCTATTCCCCCAGATATGTAGTGTTTACAAGCAAGCATCATGAAGGATGGACAAACTGGGGCTCAAAATGGTCATGGAACTGGAATTCTGTAGATAATGGGCCTCACAGGGATCTTGTTGGTAAGCAGGATTGTACATAAATTCTAAAGCATCAATTTAAATTGAATTTAAATTAAGCATGCTACATTCAACTCATTCTTGGTTTGAACATTCTTTGTAAATTCAACGGCAAAAAATTCAATGGCTTTAGTAGCAGCGATCATTACGTTTTGTCACTTAATCAAGCTTGTGTTGAAAACCCTGGGTATGATTCCATGCTTTCAATGCAAAGTGCAGATAATTGACCAAACACTAAGCTGGTAATAGCAACTTGTGCCACATGGTACTATTGGGAGTCACTTCCAAGAATGCAGTATGGGACATCAGTCCTTGGCTGATCTATGACAGATAACACGAGCCTCAGTCTTGATAGTTTACATTATCAGGGTCCATTATCAGGGTACATTATATCAGGGTCCATTATCAGGGTCCATTATCAGGGTCCATTATCAGGGTCCATTATCAGGGTCCATTATCAGGGTCCATTATCAGGGTC